AAAAAAATCTATATAGATTAATCTAGATGATCAAGACTGACAAAATTTTATAGATGGATATTAATTGGACAAATTTCCTTTTTGAGGACCACATTTCTTAGGTTAAAATCAAACCTAGGGTCTAGGAAAAGGTGGAAGGATACTTGGTATCTCACATTTGCATTGGCTTGAGTTAAATTTCGGAAAGCAAGGAATATGCTTATCTTTAAATAGAAAGTCATCTATCTACTACCTTGTTGCATCTATTCATAAAAGATGTTTTGGTATTCATAGTGCCCATGAATATTGCAATATTATTTCAGACACTCAACATGATGACCCTTATTAGTCATCCATCATTAGATGGATTCCTCTTGCTCTAAGAATCAGCAAACTAAATTGTGGCGAAGCAAGTTCGAAATATGGGACATAAGTTGTTTGTGGGGGTGTTATCAGAAACCATTTGGGTGAATTCATCTTTGGCTATTCTTGTAATATTGGTCAATGCTCTGTAATTCAAGTTGAATTATGGGGAGTATTATATGGACTTCGTCTAATTCAAGACAAGGGGCTAAAGGAGAATATCATTATTGAATCTGATTCTACGCTTGTGGTTAAATTCTTAAACAAAGGATGCAATGCAATCCATAGTTGTGCCACTCTAGTAAATTACATAGTGGAGAAAGCATATATGAGTCAAGAGCTTCAATGCAATCACATATTCAAGGAGACTTATCAAGTAGTTAACATGACTAACCTTAACTTTAAGTCTAGTGGAAGGTTTATGTGTACATAAATATCCTCCACCTAGGATTTTAACTCAGCTACTAGATAATTCTTCATATATTTACTTTTGTCAAGATTTTTAGTTTAGACTTTTAGTCTCATTTATTAAAAAAAAACTATATTATTTAATACACTCACTTTTAAACATATTATTACTATTTAAAAATTCATAGTTTCATATTGTACACTCCACTAAAAAAAATAAATCTCCTTTATTTTTATTTAATCTATCACATTAATCACTTAATTATTAGAATTCACATAAATTTTAACGTTAATTATATAAGTTAAAAAAATATCTATCAAAATTATAAATTTACAACGGTAACGGTAGAGTTTGAAGCTAAAGAGATAAAAAAAAATTTAAATATCTAACACATTATGATGTTAACACTTTTTTTTACGAAATGTTAACAAAATTAATATTTTATTATAAAAGGTATTTCTTTCTTAACACTAACCCGATGTAAGAAAAAAAAGTGTTCTTATAAGAAAATAAAGACAACCGATTATTTTATATTTTGAATATAATAAATATATTTTAAGTATTTTTTTATTTTGTTGCTAAAAATTGATAATTAATGTTAATAAAACTGAATATATGACTAAAGCTGATGGTTAATGTTAACAAAACTGAAAAATTACCTTTTTTATAGGTGAAAATTGAAATAATGACAATGAAGTTTAAATTTTTCAAGAACATTCATACTATTTTTTGTAATTATGTTATTGATACTAATTATTTATTGACTTGAGTCCTCGAAAAATTAATCGATCATTTTTAGTAAAATTTATTATTTAACATAAATATTAATTTTTAAAAATTTATTTTAAAATGTATTAAATAATACACTTAGTGACAAAGTAAACTATTTTTACATTATTTTTTTATCCATTTTATTAGTGTAAAATATCCATCTGTGGAGTGTGTGGCAAGATGGTTGTGGAGTGCTGTGAAAATAAACTAGAAGAATCTGATCCCAAACCCTGCTATCTAAATTAGCGGAGAAATTAACGTGATCTAGTAAAGCCGATATGGCTTGTAATTAACTAGCTTATTTATCAATCAAGTGTTTGTGAGTTATTTATCTATATGAAATCCATCATGCTTCTTAGTTTTTAATGCATGAATTTTTATTCACTTATTGTGTTTGTTAATAATTTTCTCCCATCATACTTGTTTGAATTTTCATAATAAACTTCATTCCCTTTAATCTTTGGAAAATATTCTTTCTTTCTCTGCCATGCTGCTACACCATCACCATTTTCTTCCTTTCTCTACTGGAAAGTTCACCTTCTCTATTTTTGTCCTCTCTCTTTGATGCTTGTTTGAGTATTGTGATTTACATTTTAGTTTGACATTCCCATGTTGTACCTTGCAATGGAATAGTGAGTCATACCTTTTTTTCATGAAAATTGGACATATGTTATGATATGAATCTCGAGTTTAAGGTAGCAAATTTGTATAGTTAATTATAGTTAGTCATATTGGATTCATTTGATGTGCTGATTCTAAAATGAATTAAAATTTACCTTATATATTCTGGTTAGAACATTTTTTTATGGGTGGTTAAGCTTTGATGTATGGAATTTATCTATTTTGATTTAGTTGGTAATTATGTTCCCTGCATTTAGTAATTATTTAGTGACTTAAATTTTTTAATTTTTATTACTGTTGCAGACTTTTCAACCATTAATTAATCAAAAAGTTTATGTTATAGCTATAATACTGAAAAGGGTAATAATAGTTTTTTTTTAAATGGTGTGAAAATAATACACTAGTTTATTCTTTTAATGGTATATTAAATATAACTTTTAGTGGATAGTACACCAGTATATTTTTTTTTTTAAATTAGACCAAAGCATATATTTGTTGTAAAGTTAAGATGGATAAAATTAAGGGTGGTGGTCACAATACATTCCATTTGAGAAACTAACCCATAACAGTTTAGAATCTAAAATTAATAATTCAAAGTATTTTTTCATTCCGGTTTTATAACAGTTTTGGATCCAAAACTCATTCTAAAAATTGTTTTAAAGTTAAACCATAAACCAGATTCTTTTACAGGCAATTGTTGGCAGATGCGTAACATTAGCCATAACACAATCATAACATTGATGCTTATTGAAAATTTAAAAATCCTATTTTTTCTCTACAATTTTCTTTGGTTTCTTTGTAGTTTCTTTAGTTACTGGTTTCTCTACAATTTTTTGTCTATAATTTACAAATCTTGGTTATAGATTCATAAGCTCCCAAGAAACTACCAATGGAACAACATGTATTGGCCCAATTCACTAATTTATTGCCGAAACTGAGTAGTTTAGGCCATTTAATACTACTTTATGAAAAAAAAAATGGACCTTGGTGTGTAACTATTTAGCTCAAGTTAGTTGTTAAAATTTTTAGTCCTTTTTATCTTTAAGTAACATGTTATAAAACTTGATTCCAGGGTTACTGTGTGTAGTTTATTATTATTTTTATCTTAAACATGATTATAACAAAAGTCACATTATTTTTTCAATTTTTTTACATTGGTGACATTACAAAGTATGAAGTCCTATTACTTTCTAATTGAACTCGTTTCACTGATGAAGGTTGCAGCCATATTTTTTAGTTAAATGTGGATTGTACTTATAAAGGATTTACTGATTTTAATCCAAGCCAAGCCATTCTATTTGGTTGAAGTTTTCCACAATATTGAGAAGTTATGGAGTGGTTCAAGGAAGTGATGTCTCTATTTTATACAGTTTTAATGTTTTCTAACAACCCAATAATTTTATTGTCTCATTCAACTAAGTTTCCAATGCAGCTTCACAACAACAAACTATGATACCCTATACAATGGACAAAGTTAATTTAGAGCTCCCAAATCAACAACTTCAACTTGCTTTATTTGGAGTTGGCTTAGGAATGTCAGAATTGGAGGCTAATAAGATGATGGACTCCTTCCACCAAGGGGATGAACAAACGTCAATGGTGAAGAGGAGCTCCTTGCCAAGGCCAAGATAGTGACCTTAGAGGGTGGACGTTCCTTCAAGGGTGAGGCTAAGTGATGGTGGGCGTGAAAGGTGGAGTCTTGGGCGAATAGGAGAAAGGTTGGGAGGATGGTGTTTTTGGGTATTCTAGTTGGCTCTCTTCACCAAGTGGAGATGAAGGCCACTCAAGGTAACCCTAAACTCACTCTAGGGAGGAGATAGGAGAGGTAGGCCGTGTAGACCTAGTGACTAAGGAGAGGATTTGAGGCAAAAATGCTCACTCAAATTCATATATTCCAAAGTATTTACATGATGCAAGAGAGAGAGGGTTCTGTTTACTTTAAGAGGAGTAAGTCTACCTAAACTTACTTTGTTCAATAACTTATGTTTTACATCAAATTTTTAATGATAGATATAAATACAAAGACAGAAAATGGTAAAGATAGGCATCTACGACATGAGGATGGTAATGACAATGGAGATAGATATAGAAAACATTCAAGACATGAAGAAAGTGAACACCATTGGGAAAGAAAAAGAAATTCTGATAATCTTGTAATGGCTTATACTGCAGAAGGGGGTGATAGCAAACTAACAAGGTATCATTAAAAAGACTAGTTTATTTCCCCGTTACCAACTATTTGTTGGCTTTTGCATCTTATTTGTCTAAATTACATGTGTTTTTTTATGAAAGACAATTTTATTCAAATTCCATAAAATTACTATAAATGATAAAATTCTTCCTCTAAATATTTATCATCACTACACATCCACCGATTCATTTTACTCGTTAAGCCAAACAACTTCTAACCTATATTTATTTTGTTGCAAATAATTCCTTTGCAGTTTATAATCCACGTAACTTTTATTTTATTTTATTTTACATTATTATACAAACATATTAATTTTACTTTGTATAATAATTATTTAAAAATCATAATAAAAAATGATAAGTAATTAATCGATAATGTAAAAAAAAAAAAAATTTGTACACCAATAAAATATAACTATTTAACTCGGTAATAACTTATGATTAATTAATAACATTAAAATATTACAGTATTAATAACTTTCATGTTTCCACGAATTCAAAGAGAAACAAAAGTCGTGCATTCCCTTCGAATTCCAACTTGCGAAAACGACTGTGCAGCAGCGACCACCCCTTCCTTAGCCTTTCTTTTTCTCACTCTTTTCTTCTTTCCATACACTATTATCATTAATTAATATATTTATTATTTTCTATATATTCACGAGAAACATTGAATTCTATTATATTCTCATTCTCATTTCTAAATCCCGTGTTCCTTCTTTGTCTTTCTCACTCTCATCTTTTGGCTCTTCTCTCTTTAGTTTCTTTCTTCTCTTTATTATTATTATTTTTTTTATATATTTTTCTCTCCAACATGACTGGTGTTGCTGAAGAAGCCCCTGTTACCCTCGACACGCTGAAGCAGTTAATGGCTGAGTTTGCGAAGGAGAGAGACTGGGAACGTTTTCATAGCCCAAGGAACCTTCTTTTGGCTCTGGTATGTGTCTTTTCTGTTACTACTGAAAAAATGGAATTTTTTGGGGTTATTGTTGCACCCTTTTGTGATCTTTATTGCTTTGTCGTGTAGTTTTTTTGTGGGTAACGTGTTCTTTTATGATCCATGAAAGAAGGAGGGTATAGAGAAGAAGAATCTCTTTTGTTGTTATTGTAATTTCTTAATCCGTTTTCTTTTGGGGTTTTGTAAACTGACTCACCTGAGTCACGTTAGATTATAAATGGGATTGCCGTAGATTCTCAATGTTTGCACAAAGAGATTATTTTTCATTGCAAGTTGGATTTTTTTTAGAGGTGGGTGGGGATGAAGCTCTTTTTTTTAATACAAAAAAAAATGTTTTATGATGAAGCTGTTAGCTGCCTTTGGATGAGTTTTCTACCCGTTTGATGTTTATAATCTTCATTTGTTAAATTAAAATTAGTTTGTTATAAAATGATTTATGTATTAGAATTTTTATCTTCAAAGTAACTTCATAATAAAATTTAATATCGAAAGCTCTAATCTAACTTTGGGCGAGTTATCTCGAAAGTAAATGTATAATGAAATTTGCTAGCAACTGCGAAGTGATTTTTTCAGTGTAAATCTGTTGTTTCTGTCATTAGGGAAACGTGTTTGAATTTATTTATATGCACCGTGTGGAAAAAAATTAGTGTATGTAAAACAAATTAGAGACTAACTATAGAATTTCGACCCTTTTGCAAATCCATTTGTGTAAAAATACTTCTCTTTGGGATACAATTATTTCAAAGTTAAAAGTAATTAAGACAATTCATTTTTTTTTACCGAGAATCACGTTACTGCCATAGAACACGGTGTACTGTGTGTTTGGAACAGATTTTTCACGTTTGACTGGAAAGAGAAAATAATAGCTTCTCCTTAAATTGTTACTTGGACGTGGAGAGACAAAGAAATTGAGTTTCAAACGTACATTAACTTTCAGAATTCGTATGTGTCACGGTCTATTGTTTTAGATTTTGTCACTTTGTCATATTCTCAAAACCCGAGTCAATGTAATCAGATTCCATGGCGTTGCCACCGTAGAAGATATGTAAATTTTTCGGCCTTCAATTTTGCTTTAACTTTTTAACTTTTGTTCCCACCTAGAGTACAAAAGTGGGACAAAAGTATGATTAATATTATGCCAAAGCACAACCCCAAGCTGCTATCGTATTAACATAACAATAGTTTATTATTATAATTCATTTGTTTATTTTGCCATTGCTAGGTGGGTGAAGTAGGGGAATTGTCTGAGATATTTCAGTGGAAAGGTGAGGTTCCAAAGGGTCTTCCAGATTGGAAAGAGGAGGAAAAGGTCCATCTTGGGGAAGAGCTTTCTGATGTGTTGCTTTACCTTGTGAGGCTCTCCGACATTTGTGGTGTTGATCTTGGCAAAGCTGCTTTGAGAAAGGTTCAACTCAATGCCATAAAATACCCTGCAAAACATTGCAAAGAGCTTTCAATTTCAAGGAAGCAAGATGAAAACCCCTCCACCAATAATGGCACTGCCACTGATGGTGACTGATTTGAAATTAGTTTCTTTAGCTGAATTAGGGGGTGAAGTGGGAAAGAAACCTTGGTGGTTTGGTTTTTTGTACAATGGATTGTGCATGGAAACTGTTGTTTAGTGTCTTGGTACGTTTATGATTCTCACAGGTTAAGTTACTGTTTTGGCAGAATCAAATCCCCGTGGCAGATATGATGAAATCTATTTCTTCCATTTTTGGCCAACTTGCTTTTCTATGTGTTGGGGGCATTTTGGATGCATAATTACAATCCCGGATTCTGTGCAATCTGATTTATTTTCTTAGTATTTAATATATGTTTCTTAAAACGTCCTTTGGGTTTAATTTCGATTGATGAGCCGAATAGATATTCCTTTGGTATACGGAAAGCGAAAATGCTTCTTTTCTTCTGCTAGGAAAGAAAATCGCCCTTTGTCTACTTGTGCCCATGTAGCTTTACTGTGACTGCGAAACAGCCAAAACTATGAATAGTTTAGAATAGATACATACATGGGCACGAGAATCAGATGCATGAGCAAATTGCGGTGCAGATGATTGTTCATCACTCTTCTAAAGTTAAACGAATTTTTTTCTCAAATAATATTATTTTTAAAACAAATTACCAAAAAATATATATTACATTATTTATCCAAATAGAATTGTTTACTGTTCACACTCAGAATTCGATTATCGAAAAATCGAATTCTGAGTACTGTTATTTATTTATTTTTTTGTGCTCAGAATTTGGGAGTAGTGTTTAAATTTTTTTTTTTTTTTCATTTTGGATTTAGGAATGTGTCAATTTTGTAACTAGAATGGACCGTTCTAAATTTTGAGCACTGTTATTTATTTATTTTTTTTTGTGCTCATAATTCGATTTTTCGGTAACTGAATTCTGAATGTGAATAGTAAACAGGTCTATTTGAGTAAATAATGTGTAATAGATGTATTTTTGGTAATTTTTTTAAAAAATATTATTTGAGAAAAAAATTCAAGTTAAACTATTATAAAAAAATTAAGGTTAAATTGTGACTCCTTTTTTCTCAAAGCATAAATAAAATTTTTTAAAACATAAATAAAATAGGGGATAAAATAAAAAGAAAAAAGTGATTAAAGTTTAAGATTGATTAAAACAAAATTAAAGTTTATTATAAATTAGATAAAATTTAAGGATTGCTTAGGATAAAATAAAAGTTTGTGGTGTCTATTTATAAAAAGAAAAAAGTGAAATTTAGAATAATTAATTACTTTTTTTCTAATAAAAATATCTTATATTTATTGTAGAAAGGTACACAAGTTGATAAAAAATTATTTAAATAAAAGATAAATAAATTTTAGAATAAATTTACGATAAATTCAAAAGGAGGGAACAAATTACATGTTATACCAAATTTTTTACATTAAAATACAAAATATTATAAGGTAAAATAAACTTTAGGCTAAATTATGTTTTCGATTTTTTTATATTATATTTTTAAAATTTATTTTAATCTTTTATCTTTTAAAATGTTTATTTTGATCCTTTATCCTTTTAATTAGCATTGATTTTGGTCCTTTTAAAATAATAATTATTTTTAATTTTAACACGATTTTGAACAATATTTTTGACTAATTTAATACTTAAAATTTGTTTCATTAGATTCACTTACATGAAAATTATTGAATGTCATGTATATTTGAATCAAAAAGAGTCATACACGTGAAAATTGTGGGGGAAAAGTCCAAGTAGTAACTATTTTTTTTTAAAAAAAAGGTGTAATTTTAAATTGTTTTCTAATTGTTCATAATATGTGTTTTCATGTAATTTACATTATGTTTTATGTTTTATTACTCTTTTGGGTCCAAAAATCATTTGAATCTCATAATTTTTATATAAGTAAATCTAATGAGACAAATTTTACGTCCTAAATCGGTCAAATAAAAATTTAAAATCATGTTACAAAATTGAAAATGATGACTATTTTAAGAAGACCAAATCAACTTAAACTTAGAAGATAAAATATCAAAATGAACATTTTAAAAATTAAAGGATCAAAAATGAATCTTAAAAATAAGATAAAGGATTAAAAGTATAATTTAGCATAAATTTTATAACTAATAAAAGCATAAAAACCCTCAATGTTCCAATGACACATTATCATAGTAAGGATCCAAAACAGCCACTGAAGCAATAAGCTTCCACTCTTTCATGCTCAATCTCATACGCCTACTTTACTCTTGTAAATGATAATCATCCCAAACAAACAATAATCACATAAATACAAAGGAGTGATAATTTATCTCATTCATGTATAACACATACAAGACATATGAATAATACAAACATGATAAAAAAAATCATAATTAAACATCACCCATACATATATATCACCACTATACATTTTCATTATTCGCTCATTACATTATAATATTCATCATTATAACATGATAATCATAACATTTCTATTATAACATCATTATCATCATCATCAAACCTCAAACATTAGAAAGATTTTTTAAAACCCAGAAGATTTAGAAGATAATTTTTTAATAATCAATTCATCCTTCAGTTGGTTAAGCTATCTTTTCTAACAATGATGTTTTCTTTCAAAGGCTTACACTTGTTTTTCTATATTATTGGATTGCGATGATTATACTTATTATGAGAGTTGGACAAGATTAGGTTGGAGGCATGCCTTTTTTGTGTGTGTTATTATGATACAACACATATATAGAGATTGGTTCTAGGGCTTTATGTTTTATGCATTTTATACATGTATTTGTTGCATGGATGCCTAAATATTGTTGTATGATAACTCTTGGTTAGCAATTTATTTACATTTTTTCAACTGCATAATATCTATATCATAGTACGTATAGTGACCTATCGGGTCAATACATAAATTATTCAAAGTCAAACACATATAACTATAAAGTGCTTAAGTGATGAACTACTAAAAAGTAGGTGTAACTTGTTGATCCAGGTAGTACTATTTAATTTTTTTAAGTCATTATCAATTGTATAATCTCACACTTATACAAATCTTCAGATTTCTCAACTTAATGTGTTCAAGTTATTATAATCACAATATAAATTAATTTTCATAAAATTAAAATATAATTTATATGATAAAATATTTAATTATTATAAATTTTAATTATAATATAATTTTTATAAAAACATTTATTTATGATGAGCTTTTAATAATGAAAAAAATTGCACCGATATTCTAAAATACTACTATGTAATCTATCTTTTAGATGTGTATTTTACTCACTACAACATCAACTAGTTAAAAATTGAATTACTCTTTATCCTTATTTGTATAGTATATGTTTTTATTATTATTTTTTTGTGTGCATATCTCTATTTTTGGTGCATCCTTGATATATATTCTTATTTACCGCAAACTCTTTCAATATATCTAGCATTTTTGTTTCTATTTATTAATTAAATTTCTATATTTTTTTAAAGAAAAAATCAATAGTTAAAAATAAATTTGTTTCAAAATATAAAATTATTCATTGTAAATTTAAATATAATTATATATTTAAATAAATGTATCTATCTTGAACTTAATCATATAAAAGTGCATATTTATCTCTCGTAATATATAAGTTAAAATACTATTAAGTACTAATAAATGATGTAATTAAAAGTAGAGTTAATCATCTATACACTGCTAGTGTAAAGTTTTTTTTACTGATAACCAATTATATCTCTTAATTGTGTTATGTCACCTTAAACACATTTACTTTTAACGGTGACATGACACAATTAAGAGATATAATTGGTTGCCAGTATAAAAAAACTTTACACTGATAGTATATAAGTGATTAACTCTTAAAAAAATACAAAATAAATATAAAAAAGTAAGAATGAAAAAATAAAGAAATTAAAATTCACTAAAAAAAAATTACCATAGATAACGTGACTGTGCATGCGAGTGTTACGCTTCTTAAGTGGTGTAGTTGGCCGGTGCTTACGTTTTCAATGCATTGTCATAATGGAGTTTAGTAGACAGATATACTTCATTGTCGCTCTATGAACTTGGTCAAAAAACAAAAATTCAACGAACTTTAAATATTTTCAAATAATAAAATTCTCAAAATGGTAGTTAAATAAATATTTTTATTAAATGTAACTATAATAGAAATATTTTTAAAATTTGATATTTTATTATATTATTTTAAATTGAATAGGGTAAATATATTTATAGTTACTTTTGAAATTCATAACTTGAATAATAACCGTAGATTGAGTTATTCTGATTAATAACTCATAAAATAAATCATAATATAAATGTATTGACTTTTAAATATCTAATTATTAAATTAAGATTTTTTTATGAATAAATCAAATTTATAATATTTTGTAAATTTTGAAAATTGTATAATATTTTGTTATATAAATTTAAATTAATGTATAATATGTGTTTATGAATATATGTCAATTTGAATTGATGTAATTAAATATCAAATAGTTTCTAAATTTTGTAAAAACTTACTGACCATTTAGTAAAAAAATTATAATATAATTTAATTGTTGGATTGTTGAAATTCAATAAAAATCACAGTTATTAAGTGAAGTAATTCATGATCCTTATATAAGTCATATTCTACTCTCATGTTCAACTAATTTGAATAAAAAATAAAAAAATGTAGTTGATGGAGAAGAATCACAAAAGGTTGTCATTTAAATTTTCTAACATAAAACAATCAATAAAATTGGTGAATATTTTATATTGATAAGATGACGCGTCTAATTTTTTTGATTAAATTTAATTAACTTAATTATTTTATTATTATTGATAATTTTTATATATATATAAAATATTAGAGGCAATACTTTTCTATATAAAAAAATCAATTTTAATTTATTTAACCATTCTCCCTATATAAATTAGAATAATTATGTTAAATGAAAGTGTTTCTAGAGACTAATTTTCAACGAGTATTTTTTAATTATATATTTTTTCAATTTTTTTTATCTCTTTTAATCTATTGTTTATTTTATTTTAAATTAAATTTGTAACAGCCCATTTTTCGTGGGCCAAAGGCCCAATTCGTGACCTAGAACGGGCCATTTTAATTTTGAAACAGGCCGTTCTGGAATAGTGAGTATGGCCAAAATAGTAGAAGTAGAACGAGCCGTTCTGATGGGAGAACGGACCGTTCTGGAAGTAGAACGGGCCGTTCTGGAAGCAGAACGGGCCGTTCTGCTGGTCTACTGGAAAGTTCACCTTCTCTATTTTTGTCCTCTCTCTTTGATGCTTGTTTGAGTATTGTGATTTACATTTTAGTTTGACATTCCCATGTTGTACCTTGCAATGGAATAGTGAGTCATACCTTTT